TAGTAGTAGTAGTAGTAGTAGTAGTAGTAGTGGTAGTGGTAGTAGTAGTAGTAGTAGTAGTAGCAGTAGTACTAGTAGTGCTAGTGCTAGTGCTAGTGCTAGTGCTAGTGCTAGTGCTGGTGCTGGTGCTGGTGCTGGTGCTGGTGCTGGTGCTGGTGCTGGTGCTGGTGCTGGTGCTGGTGCTGGTGCTGGTGCTGGTGCTGTCTGTCTGTCTGTCTGTCTGTCTGTCTGTCTGTCTGTCTGTCTGTATGTGTCGTATATGTACGGATGTATGTAGACAACGTACTAAAGTTTCGCATCAACATCTACAAGGGTCAACAACTATGGGTATGCTCGTCGCAGCTGCAAGCAGTTCAGGAAGAGCGGCGTCAGCCACCTTCGCGGCCCTGGGTGGTAGACCTGGTCTTCCCTCTCTGCTCCTTCAAAGAGCTCAACGCCATCTCGGAGGGCCTGGCGTTGATCGGGTCGGGGGTCGGTAGCCGGGCTCCGGAGCACTCTGTTCCTAGATTTTCTTACCTTCCCAATAGTGTTTTGAGTCGAGTTTTGAGAAGCTTTCATGGAAGAGAGCGAAGGCAGTGCCTGGGACCCTTTGGACGGCTGGCCGGCAGGGACTTTGCAAGCGCGGAAGGCCAGAGACCACAACCGGATCCGAGGCCCCTGGAGGCATGCCCGCTTCCGGCTCTTCATCTACGCCGTCTGTGGGACCTACGGCCTCTTCGGCCGGCATGCGGACAGCGCCTCCATCTTACCAGAGGAGGAGGCCAGGCTGGCAAAGGAGATCTTCAAGGGCTTGCCGAGCAGCACCGTGCAGCTCTTCAGGGCCGGACCGGAAGACCTCCCTCCCCTCCACCTGGCAGTCTTTGAAGAGGAGGTTCCTACAGGAGATGTAGCCGCTTATGTGCATCATCTGGCGGTGGCCTCCAGCAGCGAGAATCTGGGTAACATTACGATGCTTCTGCATCCGGACTTCTTGGAGCACGTCCGCTCTTGGATGGTCGTGTCCATCTTCCGGGCCTTTTTGAACGGAGCTTGGCCACAAGAGGTGGACTTCCTTTACTTAGGCTGGAGGCACGAGGGCCCGGTGACCAAAGAGGGCCGAGTAGCCTCGCACCTCCGCTACCACTGTGATATCGAACCTGGGCCAGGGGGACGCCTGGGCCCCTGTGATGCGGGTTACAATCCCAGGCTGCTTGAAAACATGTGGCAGATGATCTTCGGGCGTCCTTTGGACCCTTTTTCGGGGGACGACTTGGGCGGCTACGATTTCTCCCAGCTACTTGTGACCCGGCGAGCTGTACTGAATCGCCCAGCCAGATATTGGCGCTATCTTTCCAAGGTCCTGTCTGCCAAGAGTTCCTTTGAACTCTTGCCGGGAACCAGGTTCATCTCCAGACGTACCGACCTCACGGTGAACGATCCACACAACAAGGGTGTGTGCGCCTGGTTCGAGCACATGTGGCACATGCTCTTCGACCCGCGCTACTTTCCCAGGAAGGCTGACACGGTTCAGGACCGTTGCCGTTTTTCAATTGTGGCCTCGTCCTCTCCAGCGGTAGAATCGGGCGTACACCTGCACGCACCCCTAAATCCAACACACTGGGATGCTGAAGCCAAGCCACTGCCACAGTAGGAGTAGTAGGAGTGGGAGTAGGAGTAGCAGCAGGAGCAGCGAGAGTAGCAGGAGTGGTAATTAAATTAGGAGTACTAGGAGCAGAAGCAGTGCTAGTCGTCGTCGTCGTCGTCGTCGTCGTCGTCATTGCTGTAGCAGTTGTTGCAACAGCAGCAGTGAAGAACAAGCATGGGCGCTTGCGAAGAGCAGTCTCTTGCGCGAAGGAGGCAGACCTCAGATCCTACACGCGGCTGCACGACGAAGCCTTGCCGCCACTCGGCTTCCTTACAGGTGTCCTGGGCTCCGTCCCTGATTCCTGCGACTGCGCATGTTTCCACCACAACTGTCTAAGGAACGACGTTTAGGCTTCAGGGTGTAGAGAGCCTGAGCTCTTGCGTTCGTAGACAACAGACAACAATCAACTTCTTTGAAGCCCAGGCGAAAGGAACAGTGATGCCATTTCGTTGCAATCCCTATTCCAGGTCATATCCTACTTGCTTTGTCGCACTTCCTCCTCGAAAGATACCGTCTAAATCCCAAGCGGATAGAGCTGTGCAGCTGTCGTAAAACCTCCCAAAACGATGCATAAAGCCCTACACCCTAACTCCTACAATGAACCTCTCAACCCTTAGACACCTTAAACAAACTCGTGCGGCTTTGTTCAAGACACTCGGCGCTGTAGTCCCTCTCATATGCCCATGTAGGAACCCTCCAAAAGGGACCGCTTTTGTGCTCTCATCCGGAGGCTTGGGTTGCGTGCCGGACCAGACACGGTGCAGGTCTCAGGACGGCTTTGGGGTTACCGTTTTATCAGGGTCTTATGGGGATGTACCAAGATTTTAGCGGGCATTCGACGGATTGCATAGGGATGTTTAAGGGTCTTGTAGAGCATCGTTATCAGCGCTTTATCACGATTTCCACGGACTTGTGTTTGGGGATTCATGAGGGTTTCTTTTCGCAGAGGTTTGATGGCTTCGGAACTTGGCTCCAGGGCCGAGGAGGAGGCGAGTGGGTAGTCCCTCACCTGTATATACATGGGTTTGGAATTGTTTGTGGTCGTGCCCCCTGACATATAGCTGCTCCTATGCATGTTGTTATTGGCTTAGGTTTAGTGTTTCTCAAGATGGGGGAAGGCGCGAAAGCATGACTTCGTAGCATGTCAAATCAGATTGAACAAGGACCCAGTGATCACCTGCATCGATGTTTAATACCGCACTCGACTTATCCTCCATTGCGTTACGATGCCTTTCGGAAGAGCGTGTGCTATGCCGGAACCAAGTGTATGCATTGGGTACTGCCCCCACTCAGTAACACTTGGATAATATTTATATTATGGATATATTAGGCCCTTAATAGTAGCCCTATTATAGACTGTTACTGTATGGGGGCAGTACCCAATGTATGCATCAGACCCAGAATTCCACGAATCTGACCGCACCCTGCTGTGCCAAGGTCTTGGGGCGGCACTACTGGCTAAATGCAGAACAGCAGTGCCGGGCGCTTCGGGACGAGCCACTCCGCTGTCCTTAAGTCTTTACCGTTTTTCTTGAGGGGAGGCCGGCTGGGGTTTACGCGTTGCAGTACATATGGTCAGCTCCGCTGTTCCTGCTCAGGCAGGGATGCCGAATCTACCACATGCTGCAAGGGGGTCGTCAAACTTAAATGGCACGACATCTCAGACAGCACATGGACTTCTTCAGCCCACTCGGCCGATCTCTGCCTTGGAGTGAATCAGAAGCTGGGAGGCAAGCCGCAGTGTGACATTCTGGATGTACTCTGAGCGCCTTTGTGGCGACCGTCTGGACGAGCAGGTCAAAGCAACGCCCCGGCCTCTCGAAGAGACTGGGATGCCCGTGGGGCAGCCAAGAACGTCAAAGCAGAAGACACGGTCACGGCCAGGCTCACCGAGGAACATCGCGGTGGGCAACTTTGATTGAACGACCTTGAGTGACGTACTCCGCGGATTGGTCAAGTCCGCCTGCAGATCTGGAGTGAAATAGAGCAGGGCGCTCAGCTCCGTAATCGCCGTACAAACACCCGCAGCAACCGGCCATCACACCGAGAGGAGGGAGCATCTTCATCGTAATGGAACTGGCTGTGAAGGATAGGTGCACCTCTCTACTACAATCATTCTTGCTGGGTCTGTCAGTCCTGTTGACGGCTCAAGTCCCCTCCTGCAACAACTGCAAGCTCCAACGACTAGCAACCGCATCGTTTGCAGTGCTGGGCTTATGGTATAATAGGGGCCTTAATACTTAGAATAGGGTTTTTGGGCCCATTATACTATAATTGTAACAAGGAACCCCCAANNGGTAATTATTCAGGCCCCTATACTAGCATCCTTTGCACTGCTGGGCTTACTGTAGGGTATCTTGGATTAGCAGCGGCCCTATCCTCGAAGAGCAACGCTGAACATAAGCAGCGCCGAGCTCTAAAGAGGCCGACTGTGGACTCGGCTCACCCTAAACTCTGTAAATCCTCGCACCCAGCACCTAAGACCTATAGTGTCGGATCCTAGGAGGACAGCTGATTCAAGTAGAAGTTATCCCTCAAAGCCCTATTCTTCGTGAGCTCAGTAAGAACCAATCCACAAAGCCTGCCTGCAGCAACCTGGCCACCGGATTGAAGCCATGACGGACAGCTGGGCGCCGCCGGGCAGTGCTGCGACGGTGCCGCAGACTGCGGGGGGGGGGGGGGGGGGGG